TTCCCTAGTTTCTTACCTGTGTATTATTTAGTACTATAATAAGAATTTCATGTTTGGCTTTTTTTGCTGCCTACTTTTAGCCATGAGATTCCCTAATTTCTTTTTTTTTTTTTTTGGAGACGGGATCTCATTCTGTTGCCCAGGGTGGAGTGTGGTGGCCTGATCTTGGCTCACTGCAACTTCCGCCTCCCACGTTCAAGTGATTCTCCTGCCTCAGCCTCCTGAGTAGCTGGGATTACAGGCGCACGCCACCACTCCTAGCTAATTGTATTTTTAGTAGAGATGGGGTTTCACCATATTGGTAAGGCTGGTCTCAAACTACTCCTGACCTTGTGGTCCGCCCACCTCAGCCTCCCAAAGTGCTGGGATTACAGGCGCAAGCCACCATGCCTGGCCTAGATTTCCTAATTTCTTACCTGTTTATCTCACCAGTCCATAGTTTTAGAGTACCACAAACTCCTAAAGTACTAAGATAGAAAAGATTATACAAGGGAATTTAATGTATATCAGGGTTTCTCAGCCTCAGCACTATAGACATTTTTGACCAGATAATTCTTCGTTTTGCTGGGGCTGACTTGTGCATTGTAGATTGTTTAGCAGCATCCCTGGCCTTTGCCAACTGGCTACCAATATACCCTCCCCCTAGTTAGGCTAATCAAAATTGCTTCCAGATATTGTCAGATGTCCCTGGGAGGGAGGAAGGACAATGTCACCACTAGTTAAGAATCACTGGTATAAGTGTTACCTTTGTGCTCTCCAAATCTCAATCCCCTCAAATTTTGATGGTCAACTTATCAAGAGATGATCAGAGCCAAGGGTGAGGAATCGTCAAATAATAATTTGTTTACAGAAGGAAATATCTCCAGGCAGTCCATCTGCTTCAGAAACTAGGCTAAATTTAAAAAGAAAAAAAAAAAAAGTAAACTTGAAATCTGAGAGGGACCAAGCAAGTTGTCTTAGCTAGTCTAGGTTTCCTTTCACCCAGCTAGTCCTCCTACACCCACAGCCTACATGTTCTTCAAAACTTTCCTTTTCAGAGAAGGCAAAAGGTTTGTTTTTTGTTGGTTTAGTTATGCATTTTTGGTAAAGTGTTTTATTCTTGGAAAACCCTTGAAAATTTATTAGATAGAAAAGCATTCAGCTAAATTATTAGTTATAAAGATAATATTCAAATATGCTAAGCATCTGCATAAAAATACCTGTAATACTGTTGAATGGATAGAAGACATTTCAGAAAAGAACATGGCCAATAAACCCTTGAAAAGATACTTAATATCATTAATCATCAGGGAATGCAAATTAAAACTACAATGAGATACCATTATGCATATCATATTGGTTAAAATTTAAGAGATTGACCATGCATTTTCAAGGAATTTGAGCAGCTGGAAATCATGTATTCTGCTAGTGGGAGTGTAAAATGGTATAATCACTTTGGAGAACATTTGGCAGTGTTTTTAAGTTAAACACACCTACCATATGACCCAGCCATTCCACTTCTAAGTATTTACCCAAGAGGAACAAAAACTTATGCTGTCACGAAGACTTACACACAAGTATCCACAATAATTTATTTATGATAGCCAAAAACTAGAAATAACTATGTCTGTCAGCAGGTGAATGGTAAACATATTGTGGAATATTTGTACAAAGTAATATGACTCGACTGTGAAAAAGAATAACTATTGATACATGCAGTAATCTGTAGTGACAGAAAACAGATTAGTGGTGGCCTGGGGTTGGGAGTGGAAGGGAAGGGGAGGATTACGAGAGGGTACTAGGAAACTTTTGGGGGTGATATAAATGTTTGTTATCTTGATTGGACTGGCGGTTTTATGGGTGTAGACATGCATGACAAATTATCAAATTGTAAACTTGAAATGTGTGCAGTTTATTGTTCATCAATTATATTTCAATAAAGTTCAAAAAAATTAGTGCTTGCACACTTAAGTACTCCTAATCTAATAACCCTGTGTAGTTTCAGAAAGATTTAATGTGTGTGTGTATTATGAGAATTTGCACTGCTGCTAACTGGTTCATGACTTAATTCTCTCTCAAGGACCTAAACTCTTCTATAATTTTTTTTTTTGAGATGGAGTCTTGCTCTGCCACCAGGCTAGAGTGCAGTGGCAGGATCTTGGCTAACTGCAACCTCTGACTCCCTGGTTCAAGTGATTCTCCTGCCTCAGCCTCCCAAGTAGCTGGAATTATAGGCATGCACCACCACGCCCAGCTAGTTTTTGTATTTTTAGTAGAGACGGGGTTTCACCATGTTGGCCAGGATGGTCTCCATCTCTTGACCTCGTGATCTGCTTGCCCTGGCCTCCCAAAGTGCTGGGATTACAGGGGGGATATAATGCATGGTCAGTCTTCGAAAAACTAGCCATCAGAAATGTATAATACCCAGTTCTGATTTGGGCCCAATTCTGATTAGCAGTGTTAGAATTTATTTATTTTTCCCTCTTTTTCTACATTTAGTGCAGCAGTCATGAACATTCTTTTTCTGTTTTTCATTCAACATCAGTTCCATCTCAACTTCAGCTACTAATGAGCAAGAGAATCAGAACTACCTTCTAGCTCTCCTGCGTGTTCTGCATCAGTTTAACTCACTCAGAGCTCTTACTCTAGAGCCTTTCCTTGACTAGCACTCTGTGCTCCGTTCACTTAAAGCTGTTGGTCCCTTACTCTTGTCTTCTACATCTTCTCTACTGGATCCTTCTTTTTTGTTTCAGCTCTCTAGAAGAAGCCCAATATTTTGGAAACAAAAATTTTCTGTGACTTCTTCTGTTACAGTGTTTCTCTTTTCCAGTAACAACCAAAACCCTGAACAAGTCACTTGCTTCATTTCTAAACTGGCTGTACTATCTTGAATTCCTCCTTATTTTGCTTCTGATACAACCCTTCTCCTTGATCATAGAGTCTAGATTTGTAGATTTAAGTTTTTCTATTCTACCTTCACCTGTATTTTATACTTTTTGGTCACTCACTTTTACTGTTACTACTTATATTAATAACCTCTAATTTATTTTGTGTCTTCTAATTCGAACTGTAAAAACATTTTTGAAACAAAACCCCTGGCCCTTGACATGTAGCCCCACAGAGAGGAACTTTTGTATTTTTCTACTTTCAACTCTCAACTCTGGGCCAGTTGCAGCTTAATTCAGTCCTTTAAATTCTTGCTTTTTTTTTGTTCTCGGGGTACTTGGAGTGCCCCACCTTTATCTCAGTCACATGTAATTAAAATTGGGCTCATCTTGATTGATGTGAGAAGGATAAAAGTACTTCTTGCATAAAAGCACCTTCTATCTGCCTCCTACCACTTATCTGACAAATTATGTCTAAACCTGCTTCTAGATTGTTTTGTTCACTTAATTTCTTGATGAAGAGAATAAAGTAGCTCACTATCTATTGGGTTAGACCCAAAATGTTTGCTGTGACATTCAAGGCCTGGCTTTTGTCTCTCTGAACTTATTTTTCACTGTTCCCCATCATGGACTGTGATCTCCTTTGCGTCTTCTTTCTGGGTCTTCAGTGCTCCGGCACTGATTCTCACTTCCCTGCCTTTCCTCATTCTACTTCCCCTGCCAGCAGCAACTGGCTTCTCGTCTTATCCTCCTAAACAGCTGTTCTCCTCCATGAAATATTTGATTGGTTTGATTAAATTCAGGCTGTAATAATTTTTCCTTTGGAGCATTTGTTTCATGTATGTTTTTGTATCTTTTTTTCCCCCAAAGCAAATTGCTAGCACCTTCAATCACAGGTATCAGTTTGCTATGTTTGTATCCTCTGGAGTGCCTCTCATTTGCAGTAGGCACAGAGTTGATTTCTAATTAATGTTTGTTTCCTGATGGATATATAGTAAGAAGACAGATTGACATCACCATCATGGCAAGTTGTGGGTTTGGGGTTTTTTTTGGGGGTTTTTTTTGTTTTTTTGTTTTTTTTGGTTGTGGTTTTGCTTTTGCTTTTTTGAGACAAGGCCACACAGCCTTGACTCCCTGGGCTCAAGCTATCCTCCCACCTCAGACTCTCAAGTAGCTGGATCTGTAGGTGTGCACCACCATGCCTGGCTGATTTTTTTTTTTTTTTTTTGAGACCGAGTCTTACTCTATCACCCAGGCTGGAGTACAGTTGCACAATCTCGGCTCACTGCAACCTCTGCCTCCCTGATTCAAGCAATTCCCCTGCCTCACCCTCCCAGGTAGCTAGGATTACAGGCACCCACCACCACACCTGGCTAATTTTTTGTATTTTAGCAGAGATGGGGTTTCACTATGTTGGTCAGGATGGTCTCGATCTCCTGACCTCGTGATCCGCCCACCTTGGCCTCCCAAAGTACTGGGATTACAGGCATGAGCCATTGCGCCTGGCCGCCTGGCTACTTTTTATGTTTTTTGTAGAGATTGGGTATTGCCATGTTGCCCAGGCTGGTTTTTAACTCCTAGGCTTAAGCGATCCTCCCACCTCAGCCTCCCAAAGTTCTGGGCCTGAAGGCATAGAGCCGTCGCACCCAGCACATGGCAAGTTTTGACCAAATACCTTTAATTGTGTATCAAAGTGTTTCTGTGGCAATTACAATTTGACAGTTGACTTTGATAATCGTATGTTAGGGAGTTCCAGGTTTTCGTAATTTGTTATGTGGGGAATTTTAAGAAATTACAGCTTTTCTAGTACCCTTTATTGTTTTTATAAATTACATTGTTAATTTTGAAGCAACCACATATATATAATGCTTTTTATATAAACAGAATATTGTATATACGACACTGCAACTCGCTCTTGTCATTTAATAATACTTCTAAGATATCTTTCCATATCTATGCATGGTTTACAGAATTTTTTAAATCTGCTTTCTTTTTTTTTTTTGGATCTCACTCTGTCAACCAGGCTTGAGTGCAGTGGCACGATCATGGCTTACTGCAGCCTTGACCTCCCAGGCTCAAGTGATACTCCCAAGTAGCTGTGACTACAGGCACGTGTCACCATACCCAGCTAATTTTGTTTGTATTTTTTGTACAGACGGGATTTCACCATGTTGCCGAGGCTGGTCTCAAACTCCTAAACTCCCAATCACACCACTCAGCCTTCCAAAGTGCTGGGATTACAGGCAATGAGCCACCACGCCCGGCCTTTTTTGTTTTTTTTGGTTTTGTTTTTTTGAGACAGAGTTTCACTCTGTCACCTAGGCCGGAGTGCAATGGTGTAATCTTGGCTCACTGCAACCTTTGCCTCCCAGGTTCAAGCAGTTCTCCCACCTCAGCCTCCCAAGTAGCTGGGATTACAGGCACCCACCATCATGCCCAGCTAATTTTTTTTTTTTGTATTTTTGTAGAGATGGGGTTTTACCACGTTAGCAAGGCTGGTTTTGAACTCCTGACCTCAGATGATCTACCCGTCAGCCTCCCAAAGTGCTGGGATTACAGGCATGAGCCACTGTGCCCGGCCACATGCTGGGCCTTAATCCACTTCCTATTCACATTTTTTTTCTTTATTTCAAGCAACCCCAGCCTGAGAATAACCCACATTCTATTCTGAAAATGTTTTCTTTTCATAATGCACATCAGTTGTGCTTCATATTCTAAGATGTGTGTACTATCTAAACACTTAGAATGAAGTTTATAAAAGTCATTAGTTAAATATTGTGTTCTGCTTGTTTTATAGAGCTATCACTGATATAAATACTATTTGATATTTTATGAACATTTTTCTAAATGGAAAGTTATTAATTTACCAGTGAGGGGCGGGCAATAGGATAGATTAAAAAATAGCTTTTATTCAATATCAGTAACATAGAAGTTAATGAGAGACAAATTCCAACTCTAATTAGATGACCCATATTCTGTTTCTTACTAGGAATCAACCCTCAAAAGCGTATTGAGTGCCTTATGGAATTTGTCAGCACATTGCACTGAGAATAAAGCTGATATATGTGCTGTAGATGGTGCACTTGCATTTTTGGTTGGCACTCTTACTTACCGGAGCCAGACAAACACTTTAGCCATTATTGAAAGTGGAGGTGGGATATTACGGAATGTGTCCAGCTTGATAGCTACAAATGAGGACCACAGGTATATATAGAGTTTTATATTACTTTTAAAGTACAGAATTCATACTCTCAAAAAGACCTAATTGTAAGCAATGTTTTACATAATCATGAAAGTTTTAAGCCAAAATATATTTATTATTGTGAAAAGATAACTACTCTTAGTTTAACTCATTAGTGTACTTAATGTAATAACAGTTTATAGTATTATAAAGGAGACTAAATTAAGCAAATGATAGTTGAGAGGTGTAGCCCATATGTGGAGGAAAAAATAGTCACAAATATTGGAACAAAATAATCCATTTCTATCAGTATAGTATAAAAGAATGTGAAAACAAAATTTAAAACAAGACAAAAACTATGAGCATAATCCAGAGAATATAAAGGTTCACATTTTTCTAATGATGTCTTAGTATCAATAATAATAATTTTTTTTTTTTTTTTGAGACGGGGTCTCACTCTATCGCCCAGGCTGGAGGGCAGTGTTGCAATCTTGGCTCGCTGCAACCTCCACCTCCTGGGTTCAAGTGATTCTCCCACCTCAGCTTCCCAACTAGCTGGGACTACAGATGCACGCCACCACACCCGGCTAGTTTTTCTATTTTTTGGTAGAGATGAGGTTTCACCACGTTGTCCTGCTGCTCTTGAACTCCTGGCCTCCAGTGACCCACCCGTCTCAGGCTCCCTAAGTGCTGGGATTACAGGCGTGAGCCACTGCGCCCGGCCAGTAAATAATATTATTTAGCTAACAGCCATTCATCCAATCTGCTAGAGTTGCAAAACCTAAAAGAGTGCCTCAGATGCAGGGCACACATTTTCAGAACTCGGATTCTGTATTACATCAACAAAAATACAACTGTCTTTTTTTTTCTTTCTTTCTTTCTTTTTTTTTGAGATGAAGTCTCACTCTGTTGCCCAGGGTAGAGTGCAGTGGCACAATCTCTGCTCACTGCAACCTCTGCCTTTGGAGTTCAAGTGATTCTCCTGCCTCGGCCTCCCGAGTAGCTGGGATTACAGGTAGCCCCCACCATGCCTGGCAAATTTTTAGTAGAGATGGGGCTTCACCATGTTGGCCAGGCTAGCCTTGAACTCCTGACCTTAGGTGATCCGCCCGCCTCAGCCTCCAAAAGTGCTGGGATTGTAGGCATGGGCTACTGCGCCTGGCCAAAAATATGTTTTTTTTATAGCTTATTTATTTTTTAAATCTGTGATGCAGAAACTACAAGCCTAGTCTCCCTTTCTGCTATGCAGAGAAGATTTCTTAAGTCCTGTAACTACTGGACTGCTAAGAGAAGACCACCATGTTAAAGCTTATTGTGTACCCTTGCCAGTCCATTTTAAAGCCCACTAAAGCTGAATATGCTGTCATTAATCTTCAGTTTGCCTGCATTAAAAAAGCTGTTGCTCTTTCATGTCCAGAGTTCATTATGCTGATCCTCATGCCTTGTTTTTATATGCCTTAAATGTTTTGAAAGCTTTAATTTACTTTATTTTTAAAAAATAATAAGCACACAGTCTGCCAAAGAGCACTTTTTCTTTTCTTTTTTTCTTTTTCTTTTTTTCTTTTTTTTTCTTTTTTTTTTTTTTGAGATGGAGTCTCGCTCTGTTGTCCAGGCTGGAGTGCAGTGGTGTGATCTCGGCTCACTGCAACCTCCACCTCCCAAGTGATTCTCCTGGCTCAGCCTCCTGAGTAGCTGGGACTATAGGCATGCACCACCACACCCAGCTAATTTTTGTATTTTTAGTAGAGACAGGGTTTCACCATGTTGGCCAGGCTGGCCTCGATCTCCTAACCTCAGGTGATCCACCCTCCTCAGCCTTCCAAAGTGCTGGGAGGCATGAGCCACCGTGTCCGGCCAAGAGCACTTGTAAGGGGGATGGCAGTATCACACAATCAAGCCAAAAAATACAGAGATTACTCTGAAAAGTAAGTGTGCTAATCTAAGAGCTTATAATGTGCACTGACTGAAGAAAGATCTTTAATCAATTCTATCTACCTCTTCCAAGATATATCAGTATCAGAGTGGCACCCAACCATAGATTAAATTACCACAAAATTCCTATTCAACATAGGATTTCATGATATATTGATAGTTTTTAAATTGGGAAACTGTTATATGAATAGAGTAAATGTATGTGCCCCACCCCCTGCAAATGTTTTAAGCTATTGGGTCAGAATAGGAAATGTAGAATTGACAAAAATAACACCTTTACTTTTTTTAGTGTGACAGATTAGTATTTTAAAACAGTAAACATTACATGAAATAAGAAAGAACAGAAGGAGATGTGGAATACTTGGAATTTATAGGATAATTGGTACAATCATATTATGCCTATTGTTTTCTATCCTTTTATTTGTTGTTACTGGATACACATTTTGACCTTAATTTTATGATCTCTTGATTTTATTTCAGGCAAATTCTAAGAGAGAACAACTGTCTACAGACTTTATTACAACACTTAAAATCTCATAGTTTGACAATAGTCAGTAATGCTTGTGGAACTTTGTGGAATCTCTCAGCAAGAAATCCTAAAGACCAGGAAGCATTATGGGACATGGGGGCAGTTAGCATGCTCAAGAACCTCATTCATTCAAAGCACAAAATGATTGCTATGGGAAGTGCTGCAGCTTTAAGGAATCTCATGGCAAATAGGCCTGCGAAGTACAAGGATGCCAATATTATGTCTCCTGGCTCAAGCTTGCCATCTCTTCATGTTAGGAAACAAAAAGCCCTAGAAGCAGAATTAGATGCTCAGCATTTGTCAGAAACTTTTGACAATATAGACAATTTAAGTCCCAAGGCATCTCATCGTAGTAAGCAAAGACACAAGCAAAGTCTCTATGGTGATTATGTTTTTGACACCAATCGACATGATGATAATAGGTCAGACAATTTTAATGCTGGCAACATGACTGTCCTTTCACCATATTTGAATACTACAGTGTTACCCAGCTCCTCTTCATCAAGAGGAAGCTTAGATAGTTCTCGTTCTGAAAAAGATAGAAGTTTGGAGAGAGAACGAGGAATTGGTCTAGGCAACTACCATCCAGCAACAGAAAATCCAGGAACCTCTTCAAAGCGAGGTTTGCAGATCTCCACCACTGCAGCCCAGATTGCCAAAGTCATGGAAGAAGTGTCGGTCATTCATACCTCTCAGGAAGACAGGAGTTCTGGGTCTACCACTGAATTACATTGTGTGACAGATGAGAGAAATGCACTTAGGAGAAGCTCTGCTGCCCATACACATTCAAACACTTACAATTTCACTAAGTCAGAAAATTCAAATAGGACATGTTCTATGCCTTATGCCAAATTAGAATACAAGAGATCTTCAAATGATAGTTTAAATAGTGTCAGTAGTAGTGATGGTTATGGTAAAAGAGGTCAAATGAAACCGTCAATTGAATCCTATTCTGAAGATGATGAAAGTAAGTTTTGCAGTTATGGTCAATACCCAGCTGACCTAGCCCATAAAATACATAGTGCAAATCATATGGATGATAATGATGGAGAACTAGATACACCAATAAATTATAGTCTTAAATATTCAGATGAGCAGTTGAACTCTGGAAGGCAAAGTCCTTCACAGAATGAAAGATGGGCAAGACCCAAACACATAATAGAAGATGAAATAAAACAAAGTGAGCAAAGACAATCAAGGAGTCAAAGTACAACTTATCCTGTTTATACTGAGAGCACTGATGATAAACACCTCAAGTTCCAACCACATTTTGGACAGCAGGAATGTGTTTCTCCATACAGGTCACGGGGAGCCAACGGTTCAGAAACAAATCGAGTGGGTTCTAATCATGGAATTAATCAAAATGTAAGCCAGTCTTTGTGTCAAGAAGATGACTATGAAGATGATAAGCCTACCAACTATAGTGAACGTTACTCTGAAGAAGAACAGCATGAAGAAGAAGAGAGACCAACAAATTATAGCATAAAATACAATGAAGAGAAACATCATGTGGATCAGCCTATTGATTATAGTTTAAAATATGCCACAGATATTCCTTCGTCACAGAAACAATCATTTTCATTCTCAAAGAGTTCATCTGGACAAAGCACTAAAACTGAACATATCTCTTCAAGCAGTGAGAATACGTCCACACCTTCATCTAATGCCAAGAGGCAGAATCAGCTCCATCCAAGTTCGGCACAGAGTAGAAGTGGTCAGACTCAAAAGGCTGCCACTTGCAAAGTTTCTTCTATTAACCAAGAAACAATACAGACTTATTGTGTAGAAGATACTCCAATATGTTTTTCAAGATGTAGTTCATTATCATCTTTGTCATCAGCTGAAGATGAAATAGGATGTGATCAGACGACACAGGAAGCAGATTCTGCTAATACCCTGCAAATAGCAGAAATAAAAGACAAGATTGGAACTAGGTCAACTGAAGACCCTGTAAGCGAAGTTCCAGCAGTGTCGCAGCACACTAGAACCAAACCCAGCAGACTGCAGGGTTCTGGTTTATCTTCAGAATCAACCAGGCACAAAGCTGTTGAATTTTCTTCAGGAGCAAAATCTCCCTCCAAAAGTGGTGCTCAGACACCCAAAAGTCCACCTGAACACTATGTTCAGGAGACTCCACTTATGTTTAGCAGATGTACTTCCGTCAGTTCACTTGATAGTTTTGAGAGTCGTTCGATTGCCAGCTCCGTTCAGAGTGAACCATGCAGTGGAATGGTAAGTGGCATTATAAGCCCCAGTGATCTTCCAGATAGCCCTGGACAAACCATGCCACCAAGCAGAAGTAAAACCCCTCCACCACCTCCTCAAACAGCCCAAACCAAGCGAGAAGTACCTAAAAATAAAACACCTACTGCCGAAAAGAGAGAGAGTGGACCTAAGCAAGCTGCAGTAAATGCTGCAGTTCAGAGGGTCCAGGTTCTTCCAGATGCTGATACTTTATTACACTTTGCCACGGAAAGTACTCCAGATGGATTTTCTTGTTCATCTAGCCTGAGTGCTCTGAGCCTTGATGAGCCATTTATACAGAAAGATGTGGAATTAAGAATAATGCCTCCAGTTCAGGAAAATGACAATGGGAATGAAACAGAATCAGAGCAACCTAAAGAATCAAATGAAAACCAAGAGAAAGAGGCAGAAAAAACTATTGATTCTGAAAAGGACCTATTAGATGATTCAGATGATGACGATATTGAAATACTAGAAGAATGTATTATTTCTGCCATGCCAACAAAGTCATCACGTAAAGCAAAAAAGCCAGCCCAGACTGCTTCAAAATTACCTCCACCTGTGGCAAGGAAACCAAGTCAGCTGCCTGTGTACAAACTTCTACCATCACAAAACAGGTTGCAACCCCAAAAGCATGTTAGTTTTACACCGGGAGATGATATGCCACGAGTATATTGTGTAGAAGGGACACCTATAAACTTTTCCACAGCTACATCTCTAAGTGATCTAACAATAGAATCCCCTCCAAATGAGTTAGCTGCTGGAGAAGGAGTTAGAGCAGGGGCACAGTCGGCTGAATTTGAAAAACGAGATACCATTCCTACAGAAGGCAGAAGTACAGATGAGGCTCAAGGAGGAAAAACCTCATCTGTAACCATACCTGAATTGGATGACAATAAAGCAGAGGAAGGTGATATTCTTGCAGAATGCATTAATTCTGCTATGCCCAAAGGGAAAAGTCACAAGCCTTTCCGTGTGAAAAAGATAATGGACCAGGTCCAGCAAGCATCTGCGTCCTCTTCTGCAACCAACAAAAATCAGTTAGATGGTAAGAAAAAGAAACCAACTTCACCAGTAAAACCTATACCACAAAATACTGAATATCGGACACGTATAAGAAAAAATGCAGACTCAAAAAATAATTTAAATGCTGAGAGACTTTTCTCAGACAACAAAGATTCAAAGAAACAGAATTTGAAAAATAATTCCAAGGACTTCAATGATAAGCTCCCAAATAATGAAGATAGAGTCAGAGGAAGTTTTGCTTTTGATTCACCTCATCATTACACACCTATTGAAGGAACTCCTTACTGTTTTTCACGAAATGATTCTTTGAGTTCTCTAGATTTTGATGATGATGATGTTGACCTTTCCAGGGAAAAGGCTGAATTAAGAAAGGCGAAAGAAAATAAGGAATCAGAAGCTAAAGTTACCAGCCACACAGATCTAACCTCCAACCAACAATCAGCTAGTAAGACACAAGCTATTGCAAAGCATCCAATAAATCGAGGTCAGCTTAAACCCATACTGCAGAAGCAATCCACTTTTCCCCAGTCATCCAAAGACATACCAGACAGAGGGGCAGCAACTGATGAAAAATTACAGAATTTTGCTATTGAAAATACTCCAGTTTGCTTTTCTCATAATTCCTCTCTGAGTTCTCTCAGTGACATTGACCAAGAAAACAACAACAATAAAGAAAATGAACCTATCAAAGAGACTGAGCCCCCTGATTCACAGGGAGAACCAAGTAAACCTCAAGCATCAGGCTATGCTCCAAAATCGTTTCATGTTGAAGATACCCCAGTTTGTTTCTCAAGAAACAGTTCTCTCAGTTCTCTTAGTATTGACTCTGAAGATGACCTGTTGCAGGAATGTATAAGCTCCGCAATGCCAAAAAAGAAAAAGCCTTCAAGACTTAAGGGTGATAATGAAAAACATAGTCCCAGAAATATGGGTGGCATGTTAGCTGAAGATCTGACACTTGATTTAAAAGATATACAGAGACCAGATTCAGAACATGGTTTATCCCCTGATTCAGAAAATTTTGATTGGAAAGCTATTCAGGAAGGTGCAAATTCCATAGTAAGTAGTTTACATCAAGCTGCTGCTGCTGCATGTTTATCTAGACAAGCTTCATCTGATTCAGATTCCATCCTTTCCCTGAAATCAGGAATCTCTCTGGGATCACCATTTCATCTTACACCTGATCAAGAAGAAAAACCCTTTACAAGTAATAAAGGCCCACGAATTCTAAAACCAGGGGAGAAAAGTACATTGGAAACTAAAAAGATAGAATCTGAAAGTAAAGGAATCAAAGGAGGAAAAAAAGTTTATAAAAGTTTGATTACTGGAAAAGTTCGATCTAATTCAGAAATTTCAGGCCAAATGAAACAGCCCCTTCAAGCAAACATGCCTTCAATCTCTCGAGGCAGGACAATGATTCATATTCCAGGAGTTCGAAATAGCTCCTCAAGTACAAGTCCTGTTTCTAAAAAAGGCCCACCTCTTAAGACTCCAGCCTCCAAAAGCCCTAGTGAAGGTCAAACGGCCACCACTTCTCCTAGAGGAGCCAAGCCATCTGTGAAATCAGAATTAAGCCCTGTTGCCAGGCAGACATCTCAAATAGGTGGGTCAAGTAAAGCACCTTCTAGATCAGGATCTAGAGATTCGACCCCTTCAAGACCTGCCCAGCAACCATTAAGTAGACCTATACAGTCTCCTGGCCGAAACTCAATTTCCCCTGGTAGAAATGGAATAAGTCCTCCTAACAAATTATCTCAGCTTCCAAGGACATCATCTCCTAGTACTGCTTCAACTAAGTCCTCAGGTTCTGGAAAAATGTCGTATACATCTTCAGGCAGACAGATGAGCCAACAGAACCTTACCAAACAAACAGGTTTATCCAAGAACGCCAGTAGTATTCCAAGAAGTGAGTCTGCCTCCAAAGGACTAAATCAGGTGAATAATGGTAATGGAGCCAATAAAAAGGTAGAACTTTCTAGAATGTCTTCAACTAAATCAAGTGGAAGTGAATCTGATAGATCAGAAAGACCTGTATTAGTACGCCAGTCAACTTTCATCAAAGAAGCTCCAAGCCCAACCTTAAGAAGAAAATTGGAGGAATCTGCTTCATTTGAATCCCTTTCTCCATCGTCTAGACCGGCTTCTCCCACTAGGTCCCAGGCACAAACTCCAGTTTTAAGTCCTTCCCTTCCTGATATGTCTCTATCCACACATTCATCTGTTCAGGCTGGTGGATGGCGAAAACTACCCCCTAATCTCAGTCCCACTATAGAGTATAATGATGGAAGACCAGCAAAGCGCCATGATATTGCACGGTCTCATTCTGAAAGTCCTTCTAGACTTCCGATCAATAGGTCAGGAACCTGGAAACGTGAGCACAGCAAACATTCATCATCCCTTCCTCGAGTAAGCACTTGGAGAAGAACTGGAAGTTCATCTTCAATTCTTTCTGCTTCATCAGAATCCAGTGAAAAAGCAAAAAGTGAGGATGAAAAACATGTGAACTCTATTTCAGGAACCAAACAAAGTAAAGAAAACCAAGTATCCGCAAAAGGAACATGGAGAAAAATAAAAGAAAATGAAATTTCTCCCACAAATAGTACTTCTCAGACCGTTTCCTCAGGTGCTACAAATGGTGCTGAATCAAAGACTCTAATTTATCAAATGGCACCTGCTGTTTCTAAAACAGAGGATGTTTGGGTAAGAATTGAGGACTGTCCCATTAACAATCCTAGATCTGGAAGATCTCCCACAGGTAATACTCCCCCGGTGATTGACAGTGTTTCAGAAAAGGGAAATCCAAACAAAGATTCAAAAGATAATCAGGCAAAACAAAATGTGGGTAATGGCAGTGTTCCCATGCGTACCGTGGGTTTGGAAAATCGCCTGAACTCCTTTATTCAGGTAGATGCCCCTGACCAGAAAGGAACTGAGACAAAACCAGGACAAAATAATCCTGTCCCTGTATCAGAGACTAATGAAAGTTCTATAGTGGAACGTACCCCATTCAGTTCTAGCAGCTCAAGCAAACACAGTTCACCTAGTGGGACTGTTGCTGCCAGAGTGACTCCTTTTAATTACAACCCAAGCCCTAGGAAAAGCAGCGCAGATAGCACTTCAGCTCGGCCGTCTCAGATCCCAACTCCAGTGAATAACAACACAAAGAAGCGAGATTCAAAAACTGACAGCACAGAATCCAGTGGAACCCAAAGTCCTAAGCGTCATTCTGGATCTTACCTTGTGACATCCGTTTAAAAGAGCAGAAGAATGAAACTAAGAAAATTATATGTTAATTACAACTACTATATAGACATTTTGTTTCAAATGAAACTTTAAAAGACTGAAAAATTTTGTAAATAGGTTTGATTCTTGTTAGAGGGTTTTTGTTCTGGAAGCCATATTTGATAGTATACTTTGTCTTCACTGGTCTTATTTTGGGAGGCACACTTGATGGTTAGGAAAAAAAATAGTAAAGCCAAGTATGTTTGTACAGTACGTTTTACATGTATTTAAGTAGCATCCCATCCCAACTTCCTTTAATTATTGCTTGTCTAAAAATAACACTACAGATAGAAAATATGATATATTGCTGTTATCAATCATTTCTAGATTATAAACTGACTAAACTTACATCAGGGAAAAATTGGTATTTATGCAAAAAAAGAAAATGTTTTTGTCCTTGTGAGTCCATCTAACATCATAATTAATCATGTGGCTGTGAAATTCACAGTAATATGGTTCCCGATGAACAAGTTTACCCAGCCTGCTTTGCTTTACTGCATGAATGAAACTGACGGTTCAATTTCAGAAGTAATGATTAACAGTTATGTGGTCACATGATGTGCATAGAGATAGCTACAGTGTAATAATTTACACTATTTTGTGCTCAAAACAAAACAAAAATCTGTGTAACTGTAAAACATTGAATGAAACTATTTTACCTGAACTAGATTTTATCTGAAAGTAGGTAGAATTTTTGCTATGCTGTAATTTGTTGTATATTCTGGTATTTGAGGTGAGATGGCTGCTCTTTTATTAATGAGACATGAATTGTGTCTCAACAGAAACTAAATGAACATTTCAGAATAAATTATTGCTGTATGTAAACTATTACTGAAATTGGTATTTGTTTGAAGGGTCTTGTTTCACACTTGTATTAATAATTGTTTAAAAGGCCTCTTTTAAAAGCTTATATAAATTTTTTTTCTTCAGATTCTATGCATTAAGAGTAAAATTCCTCTTACTGTAATAAAAACAATTGAAGAAGACTGTTGCCACTTAACCATTCCATGTGTTGGCACTTAGCCATTCCTGAAATTTCTTTTATGTGATTAGCTCATCTTGATTTTTAATATTTTTCCGCTTAAACTTTTTTTTCTTACTCCACTGGAGCTCAGTAAAAATAAATTCATATAATAGCAATGTAAACAGCCTAGCATAGACTAAGCATTAAACATAATAGGCCCACATAATTTCCTTTTTCTTAATGTTATAGAATTCTGTAGTTGAAATTGATTATTCTTAGACATTGTAGTCTTTTCGAAGCTTTACAATGTTACTGTCTTGCCCCTTCATCTTGTTGCAACTGGGTCTGACATGAACACTTTTTATCACCCTGTATGTTAGAGCAAAATTTCAGCAGTGAAGTATAATCAGCTGTTTGCCATGTTCAGGAAATTCAAATCACATGGAACTTCAAAGGTAGGTTTAATACCATTAGGATATTCAGAAGTATGTTTTAAAATCCCTGCCTGTTAAGGAAACTTTGTTTTTGGTGGGTACAGTTCTGGGGTACATGTTAAGTGCCCCCTTGTACAATGGAGGGAAGTCCTCCTTCCTGAAGGAAAATAAACTGACACTTATTAACTAAGATAATTTACTTAATATATCTTCCTTGGTTTGTTCTGAAAGATCAAAGGGTGACTGTGATGATACATGCACACATATTTGTTGAATAAATGAAAATTTATTTTTAGTGATAGGATTCATACACTATTTGGGGAGGGAAAACCTTTTTAAGCATTGTGGGGCACTCAGAAGAGGAGATAAAAGAGGAGTAAACACACCTACCTGGTGCCTTGAAAATCACATTAAGTAGTTAATTATCTACCCCTTACCTGTGTTTATAACTTCCAGGTAATGAGAATGATTTTTTTTAAAGCTAAAATGCCAGTAAATAAAGTGCTATGACTTGAGCTAAGGTATTTGACTCCAATGCCTGTACTGTGTCTACTGCACCACTTTGTAAACACTTCAATTTACTATCTTTGAAATGACTGACATTTACATTTTTGCCAAATGTTATCTGAAATTGTCTATGAATACAATCTATTTCTGTTGTTCTCCAAAGCTTCCATAAACAATGGAGATACATGCATATAGGACATATTGGTTTCCTTACATTTTCTGACTTTCTATTTCTAACTTTCTGAATTATTTCTTGCCAGTTTTTGCAAACCACTTCAAGTACTTCTATGGAAAGAGATGGGATTTTGTCAATTAGATAAAATTGCCTTTTAATTCAGATAAGAAAATATAAATGTTGAAAATGAAGAGTTCATTCCACATGCCAGAAAAGTGGAATTTTTGTAGGCAACACTGACTGGGAGAAGGGCCAGTCTACACTACCCATTGAAGTAAAGATTGCTGGATGAGGCCCTCTATTAGAGATAGTGGTTCTGAATTAGTAAAGGGGCAAGTCTCAATTCTAATTATAGATGTTCACAGGGTGCTGCTATAATCGATAGCAGGCCAAATATTCCCAATTTATGCTTGTCTACAAATGGTATACTAAGTCCAGTGTTGGGAATTAGTCAAGAGTTATGATGCCTGTTTAGAGAGGAGTGGGGGAGGGAGAGTTACCTATCGTAAGGCACTTCAAAGGAGTGCGTTGGGATCACCAGGAGTGCTTACCAAGACATAGCTGGGCCATACCCCCAGTTTGATTCAGGAGGTTTGGAATGGGGCCCAAGAACGTGCATATCTAACAAGTTGGAAGGTGAGGCTAATGCTGCTGGTCTGGAGACCACACTTTGAGAATTACTGCCCTAAGTTATCACAGTGAGGCTCCTTGAGTGATTTGCCTTCAGCTCTAGCGATTCCTCCCAACAACTGGACCTTTAATCTGACAAAGTATGCCAACAGATAAACTCTTCTTCCCCTAGGCACAAAATTCAGTATTGAGGCATCCAATCTGATAACGCTTATCTCAACTCCTGACAGCAGACAAACTTAATCAGACATGAATGAACAAGTAATTTTAAAGACAATGATTATATCTGAAGGCTCAGTTAATGTTCTCTTTGAGACTTATTTTAAAAAGCAATAACTTCAGCAAAGATCTAATTTGAATTTTCAGTAAGATTAAAAGAGACTATGAAATGGGAACTTTAAAATGAGAAAAGGTTGATTTCAGATGAAAATGTATCCAGTTTTTTAATATACAGTGGAAGTGATCAATAAGCAATTAACAGATTGATATTTAAAGACAACTTTACAAATTACCAGGGTAATGAAAAGGACATAATCAAAGATAAGCCCCATAAGAATCAAATAGCACTGTAAGTACAGTAAAATGTTTCTTAATTAAAATATGGATCATGTTGCCACAAGGTTAATTACATGAAAGCATGAATCTTGCGGAGGATGGGAGCCAGGTGCACAATATCTGAATATATGTTATCACAGGGTTTCTTGGAATCTAAGGAAAAAAGCAGAGCACCAGAAATGCAAAAATTAAATTGCCCATAGCTAAAGAAACATCTGAATAGTCAGATCATTAAAATTTATGAAATAATTATTTTTCAAAAGTCAACGTGGCTGAAATAGAGTGTATTTTTTTCCTTTCTAATAAGCATATTTTCCTCGTATTATGCAGACTTAAAATTTAAAAATTACTTTGTAATGTTGAAACCTATAGATTATGGCTCCTGTAAACCCCAGGTCATTTTTCTGCCATTCTTATAACTCTGTCTATGATCTATAAAAGTATATTCTGCTTTTTGTTAGGCCACTGATGCTTTTTTCAACCTGTACGTTCTATGTATATAATATTGTTTTTGGTGCTAAATACACTTTCTTTTCTCTGATATTCAGGATAATTCTTTCTCTACATTGTGACTATCCACTTATTTTCTTTAAGTAATACGGTTTTTTAATTAAAAATATTCAACATAATGTATGCAATTGAATATAAAGCAACATTAGTGAGAAATAACTATTGAAAGAAATGCCAAACATTAACTGCCCTACCTACACTACCTTTTGGAATCCAAACCCTTAGCCTCATTGATTGGTCATTGAACTACGTAAGCAGTCTTTCTCCCTGACCTTGGCTATTTGTACCAGAGTTATATCTGACCTGGAGGAGACTCATCATCAGCTGGTCAGTGACCAAAGACT